GGGAAGGGGCGGGGCGGAGTGGGCGGGGCGGGAGGCCCGTGACTGCGGAACGAGTGGGAGGGAGGGCACACGTGCAGGAGAACACCCGCAGGGGAGAAGCAACGCTACGTGGAAGGCAATGAAGCTCTTTTCACTTTCTTTTCATTTCGCTACGCGACGTTTAGACAGTGAAACTATTTATTGAAGTCATACTTCCAGACAAAAAAGAAATTGATCCACTTAAAGTACATGCTAAACAATTGGAACTATTCAGTACTTTTCAGACCGAACGGAAAATATGCCTTACAATCGATACTAAATTTTATCGAGTTCTCGTAATGAAATCTTCCAATTTTGGACGCTTGTTAAATTATTCTGATATATTAAACTGATTTTTCTAAGTTATGAATTCGGTTTGCAATTTGTAAAGACTAGACTTAGCAACTTCTCCTCCTGCTGTGCTCTCACTGCAGTTTCTTATGGATTCCTATTACTCTAAGGATGTTAACGTATTTTTGAAAATGATCAGCGTCGCTGTTGTTAATGTAATTATTTCTAGTTATTTTTTCTATGTAAGTTATTTTGGAGAATCAAATTACACTAGTCTATATTTGTGCAGAAGATTGTTTAAAGTAATACGAGTACATAAGTTGTTTATATGTATTTGAAATGGTCTTACAAGCCAGGAGAGACCAATAACAATAGTCTGCTTTGTACTGTAAAGCCTTCTTTTCTGCATGGACTTAAATTGTTTAAGTTTTTGCGATGCACTGAAATTACTAAGGGAGGCGCCCACAATGAATGTGCTACGTATGCTGCAAACCGCTGCATTCACATGTGCGCTTCTGGTGCCGGTTGATGTGACACGTACCGAGATTTCGCAGCCTTTTCGTCAGCTCTGCAGGCGACAAAATGGCGCCAATTCATTAACGGGAGTGCGGGATTAGTGTCAGAACAAGTGCCGCATAGTGGTGAACGAGAGGAACTCCAAACCATCGGTCACGTGATGGTTTTCTCAACGGATACTATAAATAACGCAAATGGACGTGAACACGTGTTTCTTGAAGAAGCTCGAGTGCAAGTGAAGAGGACTATGTTTTGTATAAGAAGTTCAAATCGATGCTCAGGGTTTATAAGTTTTAGTTTCGCCTCGAAGCGAGGGCGCTCGGGGGGCGGGGCGCGCAGTGAATGTGACTGCGCGTGCGCCGCCCGCGAGGAAGGACGGCTGGCGCTACGTTTCCTTCACTTCTGCAAGTAACTTCTTGTGTGTATGTGTGTGTGCAACCGAAACCAAAAAGTTCTGTGAGATAAAGTCTGCCAACATAACAATAAACTTGGCGTGAAGCTTACTCGTTGTCTTGTCATTTCTACATTTCTCCCTTTAACACTTCCTACACATTGCAAGCACCAATATCTTCTAAGAAGTATATCATAACTTTCCTACCCCCACGTTCATCGCTTTTAACAGATAATGCAGTTTTGTTGACGATTAACTACGAAAAATAGTTTCTTAAACTTATAATTGATATTTCAATATAAATTACATTTCAATTAAAATTTTAAGTTTCCTCAAAAGTAAAGAACTTAAGAAAATGAATAACTTAACAGAAATTGAAATATTGTTTTGCTACAAGACGTGTGAGTAATATTTGCTAGTACACTACAATAATAATTTTGATAATTTAACGCAAGAATAAATAATAGATTTGTATTCAAACAATAAAACGCAAACTTAAAATGTACCACTTTAAAAAAAATTGGAATTGGAAAAAAAAAATAACGGAGAGATAGACAATAATTCAAAACGTCACCTAAGAAAAACTTTGTTGACGGAATAAATTACGGGGAAGAATATTAAAATATGTGGTAACCAATGTGAATAAAACAGAAAGATATTGATCTTTCAACGAAATCTTTCTTAATTCTCTAAAACTTTGACGTCAGGTACCATCTTGGCAATCCGAAATTTACAACAGGCATAAACTTGCAAGTACTAAAAGCCCGTTTCTGACAGCTTTGAGCGACAAGCCGTTAACTCACACAGCCGTCAGACGGTCAGGAGGCTTCGAATGCCCATCAACCCGTTCCT